CGAAAAAAAAAAACGTGGAAAAATAGACGACGAAAAATAGAGTCAAGAAAATACTTTGTGTATCTGAGAGGGAAAAATAGAGTGAAAAGAGAGAAACCTTTTCTGAGAAGCAAAGCTCGATTCTTTCAATGAATTCAAGCTTACTTCTTTAGGGATAAACTGGTGAGATTAGGGTGTGAATTTGGGTTTCGTTCTTCTTCGTTTTGTTCGTTGGAATACACTGTGTGTGTACGTGTGTGTGGCTGCCGTGAGTGTTGGAGGCCCCACTTGGATCTTGGACGAGGACTCGGAGATTGAGGACTGAGCCGGATAATCGACGACCGCCGGAGCAGCCGTCGGAGGAACTTTCGTTTGCAATTCTGTGTGAATTGCTCGGTTTTGTCTCTTACCCTTATTTAATTTTTCCTGCATTAATTAAATCACGTTTTATTCTAGGTTAATTGAGCATTAATATTTTATTCTTAAAATATTATGATAGATGATTAATTGTTACTGATTGTTGGTTTTGCTGATAGTTGAGTGATGCTGTCGTCGTTTGTTGCTGATTAATGCCATTATAAATTGTTGTCATTAATTTAATTATTAATTGATTGTGTTGATTAATTATATTATATTATATTTTAATTGTTTCTAATTAAATATGAGTATTTTGATTTTGTGTGGTTTGTCTTCTCCAGGCGGATACCCAACAATTTATTTATTTTATTAATTTATATTGATTTTATGAATTATTAGTTTATTACAATATTGGAATCGGTCCAACTAATTGACCACTGACCAATTAATAATTCAATTTGCAGGTGTTAGTACTTAGTAATAAGCATAGAACATGGTCATTAATTATCAAATACAGTTGAGATAAAATAGACTCGATTAGCTCGTATGTAATTAAAAACAATATATTTGGCAGAAGCTACTAACAAAAATCTTTGCAATGATCGATAAAATGGTCAATTAATGAAGCCAATGAATAAGTAACATGTTGACGGGCTCCTTAATATAGTTGGGCTTGAAATTGTTCGGTCAATTTATAATTCAATGGCTGTTAACTCTCATATATGATATATCTAGGGACTTGCTTTTTACGGTTTGAAAATTGCTATTTACCGTTCGAAGATTTTCTCTCTCTCTCTCTCCCCAAACACTCTCAAGGCGATTTCATCACAAATCACAAATCTGGATAGCGGATATAACGAGGTAAAATTCCATCTCTTCGATAAAAAAAAATGTGCTAAACGTTTAAAAGC